GCGCCATCGGGCACCGTCAGACGGCAAATTCAACTTCCCTCGATTTCGTCAAAAATAAAAATCGGCCAAACCTTAAAATGTGATTTTCGAAAAGAGTTCACCCAAAGGGTCTTTTAGGCAAAATATGACAAAAAATTTTTTTACACAACTGTCGGACGATTCTCGATTTTTACAGGCAGTCGCTCTTAAGTTTTTATTGCAGATATTTCTGAACAAGCAAAAGCATTCGGGTTGCCAGATGTAAAGAAYACAAATGTAAGACACAGCTGACACTCACAGTTTAAACTGACTCTTATATGCAACTTTAACCAACTACATTTCATYAATTGTTTTTTGTTTCTTTTACTTTGCTGTTTTTCTTCTTTTTCTTTGATCTTACATGTATCTGTTCTACAGTAAGTGCACATAGAGTTATTTCAGGTTCCTGTGTGGAGATCATTATCACAGATATATGAATAATTTAAGAATCATCCTCCTGGTTTGAAGAGTCTTATACAATGACGTTAATGATATCGTTTTGGTTTACTTAATAGACTTGCTGTGAGCAGTCCCCTGTTGTGGACACAAATCCATACCTTGAAAGCAGATATAGAACTCTTAAAAAGGCAGGTGAAGCTGTTGAAGAACAAGAGCACTAAGATAGCTGAACAACTTGGTTCAGCTACAAATACTAATCMAGAGAGGGAGCTAGAAAGGGAATGGAGAGAAGCGGTGATCAACTCGACTTCTCTATTTAACACTGTAAATATTTTAATGAGAAAACTATTTACATCGGAGGAAATTAGGCAACACTCTGTTTCAGGCAAAGCTTCAAACAGCCAACGTGCTGCAAAGGCAAAATTTAATCCTAAAAAAATGGACATAATAAGGAACATTGCCATMGATTTGCATGGCATCGATGCCAGTAAGAGTATTACTGATAACGTCCAGGCTGTYAAAAAGTCTGTGCAAGRAGAATATGCAGCAAATAATTAAGTTCTTTATGAAATACTTAGTCAAATTAATCAGTAGGATTCAATAATGAATCACTATTAATCAACCAAAAAAAGAATTTTCGTAGGAGTAATTTGTTTTTTAGTCTTTTTTAGTCATATTCCTCTCTTGCAGCGGTTAATATTTTGCACATTCACACTTTTTTYCCCCATAGGGAACAATCCAAGTAAAGCCTATGTCAGGGAAGATTACAATTTCTTTACTTCTTAAACTGTATTTTTGGGCTTTAAAATTAGTTTAACAAATAACGGACCTGCTACTTAAAAAGTCTCAATTGCTATTCAAAAAAGACT